ATAGTTAGCTCTAGAAGACCACATCTATGGGGCATATTGGGTTAAGAGGAGAATTTCAAGCATGCACTTCAATGGTTTCCACCGCACACTTTGGTCTGTGGGAGGGGTCCATATCACTTAGTGCTCGGAACTAAACTAATGATTATATATCATTATGGAGTGAGACTATGTAACAAGGACGTGGAGATATGTTCTTTTCTTGGTCCACTGATCTCCGAGTTTGCGTTAGTTAAGCTTCTCTCTTTTTAGATCTGAGAGGGAAAGGACGTGATTCCGCATTTAGTAGGAGTTGTGATCATCTATTGCGGCATTGAATCATTACAATACCATGCAAATTTGTAGCTTCTTCTCCCTCATCGATCCACTCCTCTATATATACTCTCATCTCTGTAGGCTTATTATTTTGCATTATAAATAAAAGTTAGCCCATGTCTTTCCTTTAAAAAGTAAAAAACTTATACCTTTTCTCTGCTAATCTGCATTTTCTACATGTGACTCTTAGATCAGTTATCAAAGGATAACTCTTTTTTTTTTTTAATAATAGATTTTATGGGTACGATCTCATGAATGCAACTTAGCATGCCTTTTCAATAAATTTCATTTCCCCCCATCTTTTGTTGGTTATGGAATGTGAATTCGTGCCCCTTTCAAGTCATATTCATGCCCCATATTATCTAGAACCGCTCTCCACCTTGAATTTTTATAACAGCTGGGGATTATACAAACATCACCCACAAGGAAAAAAAAAAGAACGACAATTGGAAAGAGCCTTACTTAATCATTTGTCTGCTTTTGTTAATCCTAGTTAGATCCCACTCCAAATGATTGTTTGATGTTCCTCCCTTTTCTAGCTAAAAAGTGCTAACTTACAAGATGTGCTACTATGATCCTGTAGTACAAAAGCATATTTTCAATTTTTTTTAGAAACTTTAAGGAAGTATTCATCTATTTCTTTATTAGAAGTGGATTTTTTAAACAATGCTTTATGACTATGATCTTCTCCTTAACCATGTTTGTATAATGCTTAATCACTAGATCCTTCTCCTTAAACATGCATGTTTATATATGTATACGTGTCAATATATTTCATATATTTGGATGATTTGGAAATCTATGGTTTGCATATTCATATCCATGGCTAAATGGGTAATGCCAATTTTTTTTTTTTTGTTTTGCAAGAAATAACATAGTACATAGCATCCTAATTAACTTAAAAAAAATAAATACTTATGCATAACAATTCTATCCTCTTCAATTCCAGACAACCCTAGTGAGTAGTGATCACTCTTTACTAGATAGTACTCAGATACTAATGAGCAGTTGATTTTAGAATTATTTTTAACCCCAAGTTGCAATAAACAGAATCTAGGTAAATATATACTTAAATTGGATATTGGCAGATCCTATGCCAACCCTAATCCACTTGCACATTATGATTAACATTCCAACACAAAGAATAGAGAAGTATCTGTATTCCTAGTTGTCAGGAATCAAATCATCTTCTGAGCTCGTTGACCTACTCTGTCCTTGTAATAATATGAAAATTTATTTTCTTAATTAATAAGAATAATATAGAATGTAGGAAAAATTGCTTCAAGGCCCCAAAACCCAACTTCTATTATGTCCCAGCCCTTGTTACTTTCCCTAATGTGCTGCAACCCCTCCTTTTTAAAAAAATTACGTCCAGGTCTCTCCATGTCCAAAAACCCGATTTTGCCCTCCCTTCACCTCCCTCCTCCTCCTTTGCCGGTCCCCTTTTGCTCCTTCCCCCGAGTTGCCTCCCCCCCCGCTCCGCTTCCTCCCCACCCCCACCTCCCTCCCTCCCACACCTCCCCCCTCCGTCGCCAGCAGCCTTCTCAAGCCTGTGCATCGCATCCCTCCCCCGCTCGGCCTCCCTCCCCTCCCCCGCCTCCCTCCCCCGCTGCACCTCCCCCTACACCTCCCTCCTCCTCCTCCGGTCCCCCTCTGCCCCCTCCCCCGCTCCGCCGCCGGTGCCGTCACGAGGAACT